AAAGAAAAAGGATCATCAGTCCTCCTGTTCATTGTTGTTCAAGACGCTCCCGTCCCTTTGGAACAAGTGGAAAAGGTAGCTCTGGCCAGCTCTGTCCCTTTGTCTGTCTCCATCCCGAGAACACAAAGGTTTTTGACTTCTCCACGCGTCGTCGCTCCCCGCTAGAGGTACTAAAGTCCAACAGCCACACACCACTGCCACTGCCAGCCTGCATCCACTGCCGCTAGCAGCTGTGTTTTAAGGTTGTTGTCTCCTGACCCGGTCCAGTCCAGGCTTAACCGAAGACCACCGCACTGCACCTTTTCAAGGTTCGCACTGGTTCGACTGAATTCGCCACCTCACTCCTCTTCTCGACAAGTCATCAATACAAACTTGAACAACACCCCACCGTCCTTCTTTCCCATCCACCATCCCACCGATCGCGCGAGGTCTTTTTTCACCTTCTCTCTCCGCCGACCGACGGCCGTCTTCTTCACGCAACAGTCGTCGACGACCCTCGACCGCTTCTTTCCCTCTTCTGTTCGTCGCTCCGGCTTTTGAACGCACGCTCTGTCCGCTCATTCGGCTTCCATCTCTAGCAGCACAATCTTTCGACCTCCGTCATCTTCGACAATCTCTTAATTGGAACGCTCCCAATCATCATCAACTGTTTTTATACACAACAACCACCATTGCATTATCTTCGGTTTGAGGTCTTGGTACAGGCTTCTTCGACTTCATATCGTTTTTCGCATTCTTCGAGAGAAAATAGAGCGGTCGCAACATCGGAGCGTTTGATCACGTTCCTGCACCAACCGGTATATTCTTCCTAATATCCATCCATCATCATCAAGAATGGCGCACATGCAGTACAACCAGCAGGCCATGCCCTCTGGTCTGGCTTCAAGGAGAGGCGGCCAGAACATCAAGCCTCTCTCTTTCGACTTCAAGTCCATCCCCGAGAACGACACTGGCATTCCCACGCCGCGCACCAGCCGCTCTCACCTTCTTGCCGGTCTTAGAACCGCCCCCAAGTCGGCCACCGCTACCAGCTTCTCCATTGGAAACGGTCCCGCCTCGCCCACCGTCAACCCCCATGCTCGGAACAGCCGCAACTCGATCACTTCCGGCATGTATGAGGGCGCCAGCTACCTGAACGGACCTAAGACGTCCATGCCGACCTATGGTGGCATGCACCAGGCTCAACAGCAGGCCATGCAGCAGCAGGCTCTTTACAACGCCGAGGTCGCCGCCTATCAACAGCAGCAGCAGTACACGACTGAACAGGCGATGGTTTCGCAGCTTTCGATGGATGACCCCGTTCAGGGAGAGCTTGATCCCAATGTGCACGCTCAACTCATGTACACTAATCACGTTCTGGCTCAGCGTCAGCAACAGTTGCAACAGCAGCTGCAGGCCCTGCAGGCGGCTGCCCAGCAGCTCCAGTCCCAGGGTTACCGTATGCAGGGACAGGCCCCGGCCGCGCAGCAGAACCACCAGTCAGCTGCTTACCAGCAACAGATGCAGCAGCACGTGCAGCAGCAGGTGGAGCAACTCCAACAGCAGCGTCTCCAGCAACAGTACTTGGCCCTCCAGCAGGCTCGTGCTCAGCAGGCTGCTCAGATCCAGCATCTCCAGCAGCTCCAGGCCTTGATGACCCCGACTGCTACCCAGCAGCAAAGCGCCTACACTCTCTACGATCCTACCACTGGCCAGCAGACGCTCTACGAGGCCAGCAACCAGCTCGCCAGCCAGACTGCCCAGCTCAACCTGAACAGCTACGGTGGTGCCCAGCAGCCGGCTGTCGGCACTCCCCGCTTGCAGGTGTCCCCTCCCCCGACCGAGGCGAACAAGTCGAACTCGCGGAACTCTTCGCCCCCTCGCCGCTTCGAGTCGCCTGTCGTCGAGACTGCTGTCAACCCCCTGCCTCCCCCGAGCGCCAACGCTTTCCGTCGTGGTCATAAGAAGACCATCTCGACTGCCAACGGCAACAAGAACCAGCTGACCATCTCGACCAACGAGGAGCCTCCCAAGACTGCGGGCCCCAAGACGTCCTCCTTCCCGATGACCCCGATGACTGCCGGTTATGGGCCCGGTCAGGCTCGTGCTGGCGAGCACCCCGTTCGTCAGCCCCGCAACCCGCCCTCTCTGGATGAGCTCAAGTCCAAGCCGACCTCCAAGCACGAGGGTAGCAAGAACTTTGTTGCCCGCACTCGTCGCTCGGCGATCCACAACCTTGTGCGTGCTGGTCTTGAAAGGCGCAAGGAGGCCCGCTCCTCTGGAAGTATCAGCCCTATTTCGGAGAGCGCGGACGAGCTGGTAGAGACTCCCTTGACGGACAACGACAGCGACTCGGGCCGCAGCGGATCCGGAATCCTGCTCGACCACGACGATGCCGAGTGCAGCCTGCCTAGCTCGCGCACTAGCACTGGCAGCTGGGGCGCCATCGGCTCGGACCGCCCGAGCTCGCGCCAGAAGACTAACCGCACGAGCGTTGATAGCACCAACTGCTCGGATAACGAGATGGCCAGCCGTGACTCTGGCAGCTTTGCGAGCTTGTTGAAGAACAGCAACCGCGGCGCCAAGACGGAGTCGGCTGAGGGTCAGCAGCGCAAGGCCAGGCTTGTGTTGAGCGCTCAGAAGCGCAGCATTGGTGCTTAAGTGTGTTGCTGGCACACAAGGAAAGCTTTGAATGGGGCTTTTGCAGCTTTGGTGTCTTGGAAGGGATGGGTTGGCGCTTACAGGATACATGTTATGCTAATTACGATTATGCCCCGATGTCTTCACTTTTTCTTGTACTCTCATTCATAGGACACGTCCCCAACTGACATGTCTTCTGGGCAAGGTCGCTGTGCCACCTTGGCTTGGGCTTTTTGGTGTCCGCTCAACGGACAAAAAACACGGAAAAACTGGAGAGGATGAGGAAACATGGATGGCTTGGTGACGCTCCTGGACTTTTTTTCTTGGTTCGCTTGACCACGACTGTGTCTTGTGTTTATGCATTTTTTGGGAATTGGAATCTTGTTCTGACATTTACGCTTTTTACGCTTTCACACATTCTGTATGGTTTTTTGGTTTTCCGGTTCTTCACACATTCCTTTATTGTTTTGTTCGACTTTAGGGCGCGGCGGTTGGCTTTGTGTCACTCGCAAGTAAACGGTGGCAACCTGAAGGTGTAACTTTGTTGGAGAGAACTTGAAGGGTTGATATGAGAGCTAAGAGTTGAGAGTTGACGAGTTGAGACTTTGCCGGATCGGACATACATACGCAAATGCAAACATGTGTCTACCTACCTATTCTACTGGTTTATCGTTCTACGTCGCGTGCTTGGTGATCTTTGTCAAGGGCAATTGTCATCCGTTCTCTTTTTACTTGTGATGCTGTGCTTCTGGTTTGTATGTCTCCCGGCGTCCCGGAGAGCCGAGATTCCCTCTCCGGGATCGGATTGAATTGACTTCCGTCCGTTAAGTGATACGACATGTGATTACTCCTTCCTCTTTACTAGAGGTTCGCCCCTTCATCTAGTCTACACCACAGGTTGGCTCCTTCTCTGCGCCATAGGTTCGCGACCCACGAGCCTTCGAACGGATTTCCGTCCTTGGCATTAGATGGTCACTTTGTTCTTGAGCATTGCCCGTGGCTGTGAGTTGGCGACTGATCAAATATGTCGAGTTATTCTTGTCAACCTAGCCCCAAGTTTAGGCACACGATTCGGTGTCTATAAGGTATCCATCGTCTTGCCTATCACGCGAATACCAACGACTGCCGACTGGTCCGGCTACCTATATGGTTCTCCAACCTGAAGTGCTTCTGCAAACACGACTTCCTTTGCGGATTTGTTTACGGGCCTGGTTTATGCTGAGGCCTGAGAGGCAGGAGTTATTTCGTAGTTATCGGAAGTGGTTGTGGTATCAAACCTTGCGGCGAGAGTCGCGACCACGAGGATTTTGAGGAGGGAGCCTATTGTGACTTGGTTAGTACCGTACTCTGTCACTAGACGCAATACCTGTGCTGTGAGGTCTGGGTAAGGTACGTACGTACGAATTCCAAAGTCAATGCGAAACTCCATCCTTGCGGGCGGCTGGAGTGGCATCTGGTCGGGCTCGATGTACTCGTCGAAGGCAGGCAGCCACTTTTGATCCAGTCGTTCCGGAGAGGATCGCGAGTCTCGACTCTCAACTGACTAGTAGGTATACTACAGGTGAGCTAAGCACAGGATAACGAGAGGAAAGTTGAAGTGAGTGCAATGTTGGGATTGGGGTTGGGATTGGGATTGGGAGAAGACTCACAACAAAAAAGAACGGACACGTTGACGACAGCTTGCTTGCTTGTGCAGTCACGATACAATACTGACTGCTCTGTTTTATATGTAGATCCAGTTCATGGCAAGGACACTGAGAGTGGGACCAGACGAGCGAGGAGAGCAGAGAAGAAGAAGGAAAACTACTTATACTTTGTATAACGTGGAAGGGACGACTTCCATAGCGCGGACATCAATTGTATTCATATAGCTCTGCGACACTAGCTCCCCCCCACACCTTATTAGGAACCGGAAATTACTTCCGTGCTTGTGTTGCTACCAATCCTAGCACTAATCTTTGCCGAAGGCCTTGGTGCAGTCGGAACAGTAATACGTCTTGTTCGCCTTGCTTGTGGCCGCAAAGTCGCGGGCTTTCTGGGCGATCGCGGAGACAGGCTTTGGGGCGCCGCCAGCCTTTATCCTCACTTGCTCAGCATGAGCTTTGCCAAGCTCGTGACGCACGAGAGCATGAGCGGACTGGAGCGAGATCTCGCACACCTCACAGTAGTGCTTTTTTGAGGCTTTGGCACGCTCACGGACTCCCGCGCCAATCTCTGAGACCCTTTCCGGGTTCTTGTGCGTCCACGCCAATGTATATAACAAAATGGCCGTTAGAGACCGAAGCCAAGAAGTGGTAATGCCCCGACTCCCGCGAGTTGTCTGCAGGGAAATTCTCTTGGCATTTATAAGGGTCATTTCTGCCACTACTGTTAACTTCCAAGGGCAATTGGTCTAGGGGTATGATTTTCGCTTCGCATTCCACAGATGCGCCTTTGTGAAAGGTCACCGGTTCGAATCCGGTATTGTCCATAATTTTTACCTTTTGCCCCAACATAATTTCTGCCTGGTTCATTCGTACCAAGGAAGGCAGGCAGCGGTGAAATCGATGCTACCTACCGTATGGTGTCGGTGGATCCCCAGCCAGCACTAGGCACAGGCCATCTGTTCGCCAGCCCCACCGTGCCCTGGCTGCCCACCGTTCTTATAGACCTCCAAATTTCCTCCTCCTCTCTCTTGCTCTCTCTCCATAGCAATCCATCACATCTCTTAATCTACTATTGTTCGTAATCGCACAGGTTATAAGCCCTCTCCTACCTTCCCTATAATCACAAACAGCATCGTAGCAATCCTCATCATCATCTAGCATTTGCGTACCGGGTATAAGCAATACTCGCGACCTTCGACTAAGCTCGACTCGCGACCTCCCCACATCGCGCGCCTATAAAAATTTTAGGAAGCACTTACTGTACCCTCTATCCACAACAATCAACAGCATCAAATCAAACGACTCAATCTCTGCCCAATCTAGCGACTTTAAACCCTACCGCGTCCAATCTAGTAACTTACGCACCCCTCCTCAACCTTTTCAACCCTATCCAAACACGCGACTACGACAATATCGACGCTAATATCGCTAATATATCTTCTAACTCATCCTCCCTCGTTTACTTTTAAAGAGAATATAACATCGATAACTAGGAGTAAAGTCTCGAGGCCGAGCTTAATTCCTTGGGTTTGTACAAGTTTATCTTTGCTAAGGATCCCCCCGCCGAACCTAACGAAGAGACTAAGCCTAAAAAATACGAAGCCTAATATATAAAGCGTACTAGTACTATAAAAGTTCTATTATCTACCTTTAAAAATAAATTGGTTACTACTACCTTTATAATTAATAATTAGGATAGGAAGGGTAAAAATCCGAAGGTACTATATAATTTCGTTCAATCCTATATCGCTCGCGTTACTAATAAGGCCCGTACAAAAGTCCTTTACGTGTTTATAACTAATAAAAGATTTAATTTCGATTCTATAGGATCCTTCCTCAACCAATATACTAAATTTCGTAAGCGCGTCTATAATACTAAGTATAAATTTACTAATAATATCGAAATCGGCCACCTATACAACGCGGTCAAAAATATCTACCCTATTAACGCTAAATACTAGTTGAAGGCCTTAGAAAATAAGTAAATAACGATTAGTAATCTATTATCCAAATTAAGTAATATCGGTATCGCTAAATCCCGCCTTGCCAACTTTAATATTAATATCTAGAAAATAACCACTCAAACTAACCCCATTCAATCTTTTATATTTAGATCTAATACTAAGACCTCTTCCTTTAAGGATAATAAAAAGGTTAAGTATACTAAATGTAATAAGAAGATTTACCTATCTTAGAAGTATATACCGTATAGCCATTATATTTTAAATAAAGTAGAGATCTACTAAATTTATAACCCTAAATAGGCTCTTAATACTTAACGTTCTAAGAAAGAGGTTCTCGCTAAAAAGGCTGCTAATACTATTATTAGTACTACTACTTTAGTTAATAACGCTTCCTCTAACTTTACTACCCCGGCTATTACTGCCTCGAATTCTACCCTCCTCTATAACAGTAGAATATTTATAGTTTCTAATAGTATAAATAATATAAATTTTTATTAGAGCCCTTAGTAAACGCTGCCCAACGTATTAATAATTATTAATCAAGCGATTCAAACTATCTACAACTTCAATATACATAGGGTAATATTGCTAAAGACTAATAAGTTCTAAGGTAAACCGATATACGCGACCTAATTATTTACGATTTAAATTACGCCTCCAATATTTTTAACTATTTTAAATAATTTACAAACCTATAACTACTCCTACACCCTATTATTCATACTATTAGTAACGGTAGTTTTACGTATACCTACTATATAGGCACCGTAGAACTTACAATGCCTACTAATTATATTAACGTTACGGTCTATATTAAGAATGTAATTTATTACCCCTCTACTCTAACAAATCTATTTACGACGAAGGGCCTACTCAACAATAGCATAGCCTAGGACATACGCACAAACCAAATAACCGTATACAAGGTTAAGATCTAGTATAAATAGATTAATAACCTTCTAGTATTACCGGTTATTGTACGGCCAAACTTTGTTCAAAATATTCGATATACTATAATAATATCTATTAATTATTCAACGATATACCGCCGCTTTATATACGTAGGTAGAAATTAAATCTTCAAAGCCTATAAGACGGCTAGCATTAAGCTTAGTAATATTTACAATTATTTCTATAAGGCTTACGTTAAAGTAAAGGCTCATAATATTATCCCTAAAATCGCTAGTAAAATAACGACTTAACCTATAACCTATATCTATATTAACGTCGTATCTTATACTATTACTAACTATAAAAAATATAAATATATAATCTATTTTATCGACGAAATAATTAGGTTTTACTAGGCCAAATTTATAATTAATAAAAGTAATATATTTACCTAAATTAAAGAGTTTAAGAAATAAGCTAAGCTCTAGAACAATTTCAAAATTAAAGCCTTTAATCTTAATAGAGGCCTAGAATTCGGTTTCAATACAAAGGAGTTTTAATATAGTAAATTCGTTAACTAGGTACGTATAGAAGGCATTAAACTTCTCAAATTAATACCCTATACCCCTTAAATATAAAGAAAGATCGAACGAGTAGGTGCTATTATTATACAACGCGCTAAAGCTTTAATAATAAATTTCTAAATCCTAGAATAATTTTAGCCTTTCGTCGTTAATTATATCGTCAAAATCTTAAACCTATTACCTTCGAAGGCTAATATAAACTATAAAAGCCTATAGGAACTCCTCGCAAAAGCGGCTAACTTTCTAAAAGAAATTAAAAAACCTTATATTAAGTATTTATAATCGTATTTCTATACCGTATACTACTTTATCAAACCAAAAAAACAGCCACGAGGCAATAAGTTTCGTACCAAAGTATAAAAAGGATATTTCATCAGTTTTAATAATTTCTATAACTATATCGTATTTATTTAGAACCCTATAATAAGCAAAATCGTTCGAACTAACGCAATTACATTCTTAGAGAAAAATCCAATCAACGACAAGGAGATTAAAAATAACAATAGCGAAATCGTTCAATATTATATTATCTTTTTTAACCAAACTGTTAATAAAATTAATAAAATTGCTAATAACGGTTATTAAATTTAGATCAACGTTAATAGCAAGAACTAACAATAATAAACCTAGCAAACTTTCCTACCCCCAATTCAATACATTATTCAAAAACTAGGAGAATAGACTATAACCCTCCTTATACTAAAGCCTACCCTAGTACCTTAGTAGGGCGCTCTAATTCCCTCAACTAACCTAGCGCAACCCTCTCAAGTACCCTATCTTACGACTTATTAATAAATTCTATCATCGCTAGAACTAAACTAATAAAACATTTTAAATTCTATTAAAAAGGAGTTAGTCCATAGGAGTAATAATCATAATTACAATTACGATAAGGATTAATTACTAAATTTTAAAGATCTTAATAAAGAAAATCCTAAACCCCGCGATTAACGCGATCTTTCTAATAACAATAAATTAACCGTATATACTATACTAGGCATACTATTGCCCAACTTATTACAATAACTAGTATTAAAAGTTCGCTTGCCCTCGATTAATACCTGTGGGAAGCGATACGCTGAATCAAAGAAAGAAGTGATGATATTGTGATGATGACGAAAGAAAGCGCTACGGGGAGAGAAAGAAAAAAGGAAGAAAATACTGGTGTGGTCTGGAAGTGAAAGTGGGCCAAGTGCCAGCCAACCTTACCAGGTGGCGGCGGCCCAACACACCCCCTCAGACCAACACAGCTATCATACATGTAAACAATCCCGTGATACTTTTCTTGGTGTTTTCCACCCCCTGTGGCTCTTTCAGCCTTGTCCTGTTTCCCTATGTACCTGCTTCCTTACGAGACAATGTTCCTAGATGCCAAACCTAGCATCTTGACGAATTTTCCGTGCTTTTCAGCGTTGAGTGGCTTCGTGAAGCCATCAGCGATCATTTCATCGCCGGGAATGTGGGTGACCGTGAACTTGCCCTGTTGGACTTGCTCAATCAACCACTTATACCGTACATCGATACACCTGTTCCTTGCCGCGACCTGTGGATTCATGACCTGGTGGCGAGCGTTCTTGCTGTCGGTGTAGATCAACGAGGGTGCTGGCTGGGGAGCTCCCAGCTCTGCAAGCATGCCCGAGATCCAAAGCGCAGATATTGCTGCCGGGGTGAGATTCGAATGTTCAGCCTCGGTGGTGCTCAGTGTCACAAAGGCCTGTTTCTTCGACTTCCAGTATACTGGACCAGCTCCCAAAAACACCACATGGCCACCTGTCGAATGGCGCGTGAATTTCTCGTCGGCAAATGAGGCGTCCGCATATGCTCGAAGACGCAGATTGATGACGTTGTCGTTGCCTGGAGACGGCTTTCCACCTAGAAGGATACCAAGCTCAGCCGTATGGATGAGATAGCGGAAGAGGTGCTTCATCAACTCAAGATGGCGATTTGTAGGTTTAGCGTTGCCTTCGCACAATCGATTTACCGTGTAAGTGATGTCAGGTCTGGTGCCTGTCGAGAGGTAATTGACCGAGCCTGTCTTTTTCAAGTAGGGCTTCCCTTCGTTGGGGAGTAAATCGCCATCTTCCAAGACGAAGTTGGGTGGCCAAGGAGACTTGACGCCGTGAAGACCCTCATACCCAAACTTGGATATCAACGATCTGGTGTATCGTTCCTGTGTCACAAAGACTGTACGTTGTGAGCGATTCCGAATAACCTCGTAGCCCAAGAACGTCTTGACTTCTCCCAGGTGTTTCATCTTGAAGTGTTGAGCAAGCTTCCCGCTAATCTCGTTGATGGTATCGACAGTCTTTGCTGCAACGAGGAAATCGTCCACATACAGGACAATCATTGCACCAAGCTTGTCGTTACGGAAGAGACAGCAGTCCG